GAGGGCGATCACCAACCTTCAACTCTCAGGCTCCCTCTCTCCCTACGTACACATACGGGGTGTGCTCGGCCACCCTGACTCCGACCTAAATTAACTCCCGGAGGCATTATGAAAGTTGTCGGCTGGAGCTCCCGCGCCGGTTCGGATCGAGAACCCTTCAGACCCGGCCGGGTAGGAATTAGCGAGGCAATGCCGGAGACACGGGTAGCCCGATCTGGTCGCCCGGACGTCACCTGAAGATTCCTTGCCCATGAAGAGCCACGGCTAATATATGGGTTCTCTAGTAATGTGTCGGCGTCTGGCAGCAGACATTACATCGATTTTTGGTACCACCTGCTGCACGGCTGCTCTCGGTGTGTCACACCTTACAGATCCTACGCAAGCAGGGTGTTGGACTAGCAATGTCGGTGATGACCGCCGCAGGGACACCCAACTACCCAAGATTGCGAACCACACATGCGCCAACATGCAGGTTCTTTCACCACGGTGCTTGGGCGTGACAGTTGGATAGCCACTAAGAAGGTACAATACATGAGATACGTTCAAGCGCCTACCGCGTGCTACGGAGTGATACAGCTGGCTTCTCTAGGGCCGGTTCTTTTACCAAAAGCGCTGGCAAAAGAGCCCCTTGATGAAGCGTTGTAATTCTGTCCGGCCCAACTTCAGAGTCTTGAATTTTGATGTTGATAGAGGCCGGAAAGGTGGGGTACACCATGGCGCCTACCGGTAGATGCGCACAACCAATTCAGCGACTTCGGATGAACTCGGCTGATGACATTCCTCTTGTTCAAGAACGTTTTGGTTGGCTCCCCTCACTGTTTGGCCTTCCCCGCACCTTTTTTCTCCCTGCGGAAATTTGCCGTGCCACGAGGGACTGCGTTGGTTAACAACTACGTAGTATATCCCTCAAGGTTCAACCACTTGGCTACAGTCTCAGTAGTGTGTCACTCGCTCAGGATAACCGGTTCCGACGGCTATTATGGCACCTTGGGTTGAATGAGGCTCGGTAGGAAACTAAGCTTAGCAACTTCCGTTTTGAGTAACCTGTCACGGTGAAGGTAATGTAATGATGAACGGGAAAAGGCAGGCCCTTGGCATCAGACCAGCCTCGTTCGAGCGTGAGAGTAGAAGCCGAGAAGTCTGCTACGCTGGTTTTAGCAACTCAGTGTTATACAAGCAAAGCAACGCGATGATCTCGGAGATGAGACATCGCTGGAGCTTACTTGGAGGCTATTCGGCCTTCGCTGGGATGAACCCTCTGAGAAACACTTGACTATGATAACGCCGATTATATCATGCTCTACTGCAACCCCACAGTTCTCGTCACAACAATTCGATGATGTTCGACTTCCGCCTCGGCGTCATCAGGTTCATGTCCGGCCACCAGCATCGAGTCGAGGCGGATAAATTTGATGACTAGGTGCCGCTCAGACACATGAACAGGTGTACTCTCTTCAGATACGTTAAAAACATGATTCAAGACCAGAGATAGTTCGTGCAACGCTACTATGGGGAGTAAATGTCACGAAGGCGGTGTGCTGTCCCATCAAGTCAAGTCGGACTTAATTTTACAGGGCCATCAACAAGACCAGTAGTTTATAGCTACAGACTACCGAAGCCTATGTAGATATCTATGCAATATGGCATGAAATATTGTAACGAAGCCATGCGTTTGAGCCCTGCTGTCGTATATTTCGTATGCTCGCTGTGCCCAACACGTCCACGACGCATGCTCGCTCTTCACCACCGAGTACTCGGGTTCTGTCAAGATGGCGGGATTTGACTTGGCCCATCCAGTAGACAAGAATACTTGCTCTGCCTTGTTATAAAAAATAAAAAAAAGGAGGATGCCAAAAGACATGCAACACCGGGCATTCGCTGGTCGTCACCGACCCAACTACTACTCCGGCCCTCGCTGGTTTATCGATGGGAGAGCGGACGGGATCCCGAGTTCTCCAGTGGGTATGGTCGCATGTGTTGATTTCCGGGGCGTGAGTTGGTTATGTGGTGTGCGGGCTTTGCTGAGGGAAGGTCGGCGTGTGGATTGTAGGTTGGGACCAAGCCGCCTGCCTGGTTTTCTGACTAGTTTGTCTTCGATGGCTGGCTGTCGGTATTTTGCTTCGATCACGGAAGTTTTGGGGGTTCTTCTTAGGGTTTTATGGTCTGGGTTCGGCGTTGGGTATCTGTTGTGCTTTGAGTATCCCGCCTTGCGAGCCTCTGCTAGTACAGGTATATAGGACGCAATATTGGCACATGGGTACTTGTACCGAGACATACAGCACCAGACTTCAGACAAGTTGGGATTTTGCGCTTGTAGTATGTTGTTTGAAAGTGATGTGGTTTCTGAACGGACTTCTGAGATCTGATGGGCATGGCCGTTTGAGGGGTTGAATATGCAACTCCTGAGCGAACAAAACGATCCATATATGTACTCTACGTCAATCACTTTCATACCCTGCGCAGATGCAGTCATTTAGAATACTTCAAGGTGGGAGTATACCAAAAATACCGGGATGTTCGTGCCTCGTTTTCGCCGAGAACCTCCTGGGAGCTTCCCATTTTTTGCTGTATGGCGGCTGGTGAGGTCAGTCACGGAGAGTCATGACAAACAATGGTGAGATGAAAATTGAAATTTTAAAACTTCTCTCTCTTCGTGTCTACTTTATTGAGGCTAGTTAATTTTTATGCTTCTTGTTGGTATTTGGTGAACTTCATCAGCGTCCTCTCAGTCTGAACCTCAACCGACCCCTGAAAACCATCTATTAGCTCCCATCGTCTTCGGCTATTATCGTCGGCTTCCGTCAATCTCATATCCATTTGTGTTCAATATGCTCCCGCCACATAAGCTCATCTCTGGTCAGCGCAGTATTACAGACTGCTTAGACATCACGGTTGTCGTGTCATCTATCATCGGCTCACCGATGCACATTGGGTCGTAGGGCAATTGTCATGGCCTTCGCCGACATACCGAGACACATGAAACCCATCTGCATATTCTTTTAACGAGAAAAAGGGAGCCGGGAACCTGCTCCTCGCTTACCGTTTGCTCCGTGCCTCCAACTATACACAGCACCAAACCCAGTCATCACCTGGGCGCACATAAAAAAAAGGAGAAAGACTGCTAGGAGTTTTCTCCAGTAGACGTTTAATAAAGTCACTATGTATAATTGTGATTACATAAGTGCGTAGAGTGAGGAGAAAAGAAAAAAAGAAGGAAAAAAACACCGACGACGGGACTTGCACCCGCAACCTTTGGCTTAGGAGGCCAATAAGCTACTATTGCTCCACGCCGGCCTTGACCGTTAGACCATTGGGTCCTGTTCTTTGTTGAACGAGACGTACGGCTTTCTGCGTCAAGAGAGAAGGTGCGCAGTTGTGTCGGGGAAGGTGAAGGAAGGTAGGGCAGAGGTGCTTTCTGTTTGCATGAGGCAGGTGTGGCTGGTGTGAAGAAGAGATGGAAAGGGCGGGTATCTACAAAGGCACTTACCAGTACAAGAGCACACGTGAATACGGTGACAGGAGTCTATTTGCCGGCCTGAGGGTGAATTGTCAAGAAAGAGTAGTACGGCATGGTTTCCGGGTTTAATGCTGGGTACTCTGGAGCTGGTTCTTTATCCGCCTCATGTGAATGAAGGACTAAAAGACACCGGGGCTGATATTGCACGAACAGTCACTTACTATCCAAGATTCTATCATTCGGCAATGTAATGTACTTGAAATCTCGCCACTGCTGGATAGGTGCCAGTTGTGAAGAAGACTGTGACTTTAGTGTGCCGATAAATTGTTTTAGGATGACATTCTCTTCATTCAAACTTGCTTCAAGTTTACACCCGACGTCGTTTTCAATCTCCCTTAGAGGACCAGAACCAGAAAGTAGTCAGCAGAACGAGGGAATTCTGTCTAGATAGAAGGACGCTGATATAGTAAGGGAACCTCTCACAGATGCCTGCTGCACACCACCCTGGCTCTGTTCTACAGTACTACTTTCTGGTCTTTGGTGTAAATCAAACGCCGCACTTTATTACACGTGCCGCGCCTGTGTAAAATCAGGAAATTCGTCGTTAATGTCAACCGCGTTCCGTTGGAACGTGGCATAGCCGCCAAGAAACCCGACGATGCAGAATATTCAATCAAGCACCTCGCAGCTTCTCCCTTACGACTGATCCCCTAAACCAGGCACTCAGACAGCAGAACGGAAAGGAGACTCTCCGTGAGTTCAAAGAATGTCTAGATTCTGCCGGCAGAGGGTCCCGCGCCCCGAGACCCTCTTGAGACATGGAGCCGTGTCTCACCAGGAAGCCATCCATGCTTCTTGCATCTTTTCTTCTGCCCTTAGAAGAAATTTGAGACAGTGTCTAGGCCTGCACTTGTCGGCGACGAAAAGGAGACCGGCGTGTGTGTCTACCAAGATCATCGCCACGTAATGGTCAAGCGACAGATGTTGTATGGTGAACGTACCTCGGCACTTTTAGCGGTCCTGGTCATCCCCTTCCTCCTTACGGATTCACACAGTAGACAACTGCAAAGGTCTGTTGTTTACGGGGAAAAAGTTGATATCATTTGTAATGAGCACAGATAGCAAGAGGTCTGCTTTAGATTTCCACAGGTAAAGTATGTTGGAACCGCCGCCATACTGTACCAAGCTGTCGTGTGTCTCGGCGCACTTGTGCTGAGAATGAGATGTTACATTAACCTGTTTGCCCAAGGAACTTCTTCCGCTATCCATTTGCGATATCAGAAGGCTTAAATGTATGTCGAAGACGGCATGTTAGTTGTGACATATGATGGCCTCGAATATCAAGTCTAGCATGTCGCCAATGTGAATCTATCAGTTGCTTCATGTACAGTTCCTTTTATTGCGTATCATACATATCGCCTGGACCGCCGACTCCTAGCAATGCGTCTCCATAAATACATGTAGATTGTACAATACCAAACCAGCATAACCCAAATAATGCCTATAAATACTCCCCTCTTTCGATACACCAAAGCTCCCTGCCTTAAGCAGTCTTTTTCTCGGCGGCAGCCTTCTTCTTCAATGATCCTGGTGGCGTCTTGAGACCCGCAAATACCACTGCCGTGACGACAGCCATACCGGCAGCGCCCATTCCGTACGCCGCCTCACGGCCGGCCCACCAGTAGACACTGGTGAACAGAATCGGTCCCAAACCGCGGCCGAGCTGTCCCCAGCTACGCAGAATGCCCAGCTTGCCACCACGCTCGCCCTCTGCGGCCTCAAAGCTACTCAGGGTGTTCAAGCCCGTGACTACAGTCGAGGACGTAATAGCCAGGCACGTCGCTGCCGCGTACAATCCAGAGGTTGTCGAGATTCTTCCAAGAAGAATGAAGGCGATGAGGCAGGCCACAGTGCCCATGCGAACCGACAGAAGGGGAGGCAGGCGACGAGTGACACCGCCCTGTAGGAGGGAGGCGACCAGTCCCACGTAGCCAAGGAGACGTCCGTTCTTGGAGGAGCCGAAAGCGAAGAGTTCGTAGGTCATGAACGAGAGCGAAGATTCCATGCCGGAGAAGAAGAGCAGGAAAACGAAGTGAACGGCATTGAGGATGAAGTGAGAGTTCGTTCGCTGCACAGGCGCGGCGGGAGTCTTCTTCTCAGCTTTCTTGACGCCCTTGCCAGTCAACGAGGGGAGAGTCTCGGGCAGGCAAAAGTAGAGGTACACGGTCTCGGTGACAATGAGAAACAAACTGAAACCGGCGGCAGTAGCAAACGGGTTTTCCTTCACGGTGCTGATGCTGCTCAACCACGCACCCAGACCAGGGCCGAAGGTGAAGGCAATAGAAAAGCATGCGCCGATAAGCGCCATGGTCGATCCGCGGGTCTGCTCATCGGAAATATCAGTCGCCATGGCCGTCGCGAGCTGGACGTTACCCTCGGACAGGCCACCGACAATGCGCGAAGCGACAAATGTGCGGAAGTCAATGGCGACAACCCAGAGGAGGACAGACAAGATGTTGCCGCACATGGATGCCAGCAGGGCGGTGCGGCGGCCATGGCGATCGGAGAGGTGGCCGATGAGCGGGGAGGCAATGGCCTGTAACAAGCTGAAGAGGGAGCCGAGAGCGCCGCCTAGGAGAACAATATCGTAGCGGGAGTCAATGGGCCGGGCGAAGGCGGCTTTGTAGCGGTTAAGGCCGGAGAGAACGCTCTGGAGGAGAGTCGCGGGCTCCGTAGCGTTGGCGGTAGCAGGACTGGCTTCACGATCGCGGTAGAATTCGAGGAGCTTCGGGAAAAGAGGGAGGATAAAGGTGAAGGAGATCTAACACAGGGCCGCACAGTCAACATTGGTGTTGTTGAATGGAAGAGAGGAGTTGGCGGGAAGGGCTTACCAGGTCGAGGAGGAGAGAGATGGCGATAACTCTCAGAACGCGTTTGCGCGTCTTCGGCTCGACTGCCGCTGAGGGCGAAGATGCTGCTACTACTGCCATGACTGAGGGCCTGCCCTGGATTTCGGATTCGTGCGGCGGAAGGTGATCGAGAAGAAGTCGTTAGGAATTGGAGGAAAGGGGAAGTCGAATTGAGGTTTTGTCGTGTACAAGCCGAGGGAGCGAGAGAAGAAAAGGAAGCGAGAAAGAGGCCGAATTACAAAGGGAAAGATGACGGCCGCATTAGAAACGGAGAGGGAGGCTGTAGGTGAAGAAAGGCAAAGATCAAGAGAAGGATATGGAAACGTTAGACATAAGGAAGAAAAAAGGACAGCCTTCCATTGTGTGACAAGGCGGGACGACAGGTGACACCTACGTATTGGGGGGGTGAACGTGGAACGTCCAAGCTCCCACCCGCATTGCAGAAACATGCTCTCTGAGCCGCTGGCGTCCCCTTGTTCGCCCCCTCCACTGGGTATGGTCGGCCCAGTCCGATGTTTCAGGGTCAGGGGCACTTGGGTATCCACACTGAAGCCACTGAAGGGACGCTAACATCGGACGGAAACCAGGCCGCATCCCAGCGTTCAACGATGCGGGCCCGGGCATTCGGGGCTGCGCCGAGCCCGGGCGGATACCTCTATAGCATGCCCTTAACTTATGTGTGGAGGGCGTTGTCAGCTGCAATTTGGCCCTGTTTCATTGGCCGCATCTCTGCTACAATATTCGGATGCAGCCTGTTGCATGAAAGTTGAGCCATAAGAGAGGAATGTTTCTGTTTATATCTGCTGCAGTAATATGATGGATTCTTCGGATTAGATGATCCAAAAGAGGTACCATTCTGCGCCTCACCACATCGGATGGTAAGAAGATCGGCCATGTCACTCTGTCCTCATCTGCAGTTCATTACTGCCAATGGCCGGAGCTGGCGACAAATGTCCGTATCCGGCCGGGGCCCCAGCCGCCTTTGTCCAGCGCCAATACAACACTATCGCAACTCTAACGCTGTTTAAGTAAAGACTGCCCGACTTACTTTGCCAAGCCATGGAGGAGAAGGACGAGTTTTTGTGGCATTCAATGAATCGACAAAATCATTGCGTAGAATGCTACTCTTCTTGGGGACCAGTCTGCACCTAGTTTCGCGAGCTCTTCGCACAGCCCAGCTTCGAGACCTACGTATGCTGAAGAATAATGGTGAATGACTGTGACTTACTCAGAATCTCGAGAAATATCGCAGAAGGCCAACCGACACTCAGACGTCGCCACCCCTTCAATCATTCTACTGCCTGGCGCCAACGACGCCGTATCCGCGCTAATGGCGCAATAGCTTTGCAGGCACTACGCGTGAATGTGGCACATTGAGAGAGCGCTATGTGAAGGGCACAAACGTTTCGGGCAAAGATTACTACTCCTTTCGACAGCTGCTTTCTAGTCCAAGGTTTGTGGGCAAAATATATGAATGAGTCGTTTTTCTTGTATTCATCTGCATTTGCGGCGTTCTGACAGTGACGCCATCTCTCGGCGTATATATTGCGTCCAACCAGAACGTCATTATGGCGCTCTTCCGCTCAGGCGCACGCTAAGTGTAATCTTGAGCAGGAATTCGACTTTGAAACTCCTTGGATGGCTCTAAGCTGTGGGGAATTTTCCTGAAGGAACGACGGCATAGCAATTCAAGAGGGCCATAAATAGCTTGGACTGGCTCAAGCGCATGAGTAAGGTCGACTGAGCCGAGTATGTCTGAAGCGATAAGAACTGAGACACTGCCAACGACCAACATGACCTGGCCTCAGGTGACAAAAAGAACACTGTCTTACAGGTAATTGACTTGAGTGAAAACACATCAAGATCATGGAAATGGACTTTGGAGGCTGATGTTTCCTGACCCTCCTTCCTTCATCCTTGACATAGGTAATGTTGTGATTTACATCAGCCTGAATCAGCTTACGGTAAGATGTCAACGCAGCTTCTCATCTATTGGTACGGATGCCAAGTTTACATTCGCAATCAGGTACAGTGACGCTAGAACCAACACTGAACGTGAAAATTGGAGCCTCCACTCCAGTACGGTCAAGTTGAGGTGTCAGTAGCAGTAAATCCGATATGAATCTTCTAATATCGGAGTTGAGATGCTTCGACAAACTAAATCAATGATGCTATTCTCAAATCTTCGTTCTGGGCGGAATTCTCAGTCGGAAGGCGGTTGTTAAGCAGGTGCCAGCCGTGACCACTCAGCCCTACCAAACCTGAGTTGAAGCCTCAGAGGCCCAGGAATGGATTATGGTGAATGGCCTGTTATGTTCAAAGAGACAGCCTATCTATCCGTATATTTGGCATCGTTGGGTACCTGACACCTACTTGAAGGCCCTTGACGCCCTGGCGTGGGGGCCTATGTACACATACACAGGTCTCACCCAAATCTCGCTGAGCTGTTTTGAGCCATTTTCATGGCTCGCAGAACGGGGCCTTTTTTCGGCGACGATGTGGGCGTGCTTGCGCAAGGGATTGTGAAGTCTCCAGCGAGCATCGTGGAACAACTGGGTCCACAGCCTCAGAAACACCCTGGTCGGTTAGCTCAGTTGGTTAGAGCGTGGTACTAATATGTTATCCAGCATGTTGAGTAATGCCAAGGTCGGGAGTTCAAGCCTCCCACTGATCATCTTTTTGCTCATTTCGGGCCTGATAATGAGGTTGGGATAGTTGACACAGCGGCTCATCAGCGAAGTTGACGGCTTCCGGGGTTGGTAGATGGGGTGGCCGCCAGTTGGTTGCAATGACATTTCACTAAGGAGTTTGTCGTTTCAATAACCGCCTTCCAACTGTTTTTAGTACAAACGGCTATTATTTAGTTATTAATCAAGCGATGATGATGAAGTGCTGCGTTGTTTGAACTCCGCGAAGTTGTATGTATAGTTTTCTCAGCCAGAAACGTGATATATGCTGGATTTATGCACGCTAGTTAATGTGCAAAATTATAACCTTAAGAGAAGGCTGCTGCCATGATGTAAAGTGAGGAAATGCCCAGCGGCAAGTTAACCGTTTGATAACACTGACAACCTTTGGCTTAAGTACATTGGAGACTACCAGGTTCATATTCTTCGTTGGTTGCAAGTGGAAGCCCATCGAGGCAAGGTAGGGTAGGTGCTCAAGCCCTCCCATTCACTGAACCACGAGCTTAAAAAGTCGAAGAAGCGTCGCATGCCGAGAAATCAGCTGATAGTGAGGTAGTTCGGAAATTCAAATGTTTACCAATGCCACATGGAAAGTAATCACGATGCTCCTCCCAACGGAGAAAATATAAGCTCCACATTACAATTCCGATACAAATATACCTTGTCCGCCTTCGCTTAGGAGCACCGCCCCCCCCCGAACCAAGCACCTCCATGTGCCACCTGCAGCAGACAGCGAAGTAAAGTTTAAGTTGACTCAAAGTGAGCAAGAGCCAATTCCAAGTCCCCGGGTTATAATGAGACACTGATTGCAGGGCATGATGGGGTGGCTATGATTTGCAAAGTTCAAACTGGCAGTACCGACATAATGCAGGGACTGGTCTCGCCCGAATGCAGCTGTTTTGAGCCCCTCAAACAAGGTGACCCGAACATGAGAGTGGAGGATGCAAGGAATCTTGGCAGAAGCGTTGGAACTTAGACAAGACAAGCAGCGTGACGGCATCGAGCATCTGTGCCTTAACCCACAGTCGGCGATCATTTGTTCTCTTCAGAGTGGAGGCAAAACTCGGGTCCGAATCAGGAACTCTGGACCGCCGGTCGCAACGTCTCTTCTTCCTTCGGAGGTCAGCGGACGGGGATGGCCGACCTTCGCTACCTCGCTCCTCAAGAGACCGTAAGGCTCGAATCGAATCTTGTCTAGAAAGCCGGTGCCTAGAGTGGAATCCCCAAAAAATTCAATAGTTGAATGTTGCTGATGAGATTGTCCCTGGAACGCAGTATCAGAAGCGGAGCCGAAGTAGTGGAGAGTGGTTTTTTTTTTTTTTTTTTTACTGGGATGTATTCCCTCACAGCCCCTCTGGCTCCCTCACTCTGTGCTCTTGTAGGGCTGATCGAACACCCCCATCAGCGCCTGTCAGAAGGGGTAATCCCTCTACCTGCGCTAACAAAACACTGCCTTTCCAAGCCCACCCAGCCCCCAGCACCAGGACATTGATTATTCGACTTTTTTCCCCTTGCTGGGACCAGACCAACTGTAGCGCCATCTTACCTACCGAAATACTTGGCACCACCACACCAACCGTCTGGATGGTGATAGGATGTTCACCAAGATCCCCGCGGAAACGGTCGAATGAGGGAGCACTTGGTGCCTTGCTGCCAAGACCGAAAGTCCAATTTCCCCCCTCTCTAAGCCTATTCAGCAGGTCTGCCTGTCCTACCAATGCCCACCCTCATTCACATTCACGAGCCCTCCACTTCCGCAACCCCTGGACGACTTTTTTTTCCTTTCCTCACTCGCCAGCATGGTGAGCTTATTTTTGTTAGTGTGACTGGCGCCAAGTTAACCCCCTAGGGCAGTAATGGCCCAGTTGGAGCACAAAGTCCTGTAGCGCAACGGGGGTGGAGGGGGGGAGAAAACAGCCTGAGGTCGAGAAGGGTGCGGCGAGGCACTGCAACCAGCTTTGGATCCTTGGGCTCCGCCAAGATACGGGGCTGATCATGTCTGTCAGACCGCATAGTCAATCTCGCCGAAGCACGTTGGGATTGGATCGCGTGGTGTTTGCTGAACTAGCGCATGTAAGAAGAAGAGGATTGCGCGCGCTGTTATTTAAGACCTTGGCAATCCTCCTTCCCCCTTAAGCCTTGAGGAAGAGAGAGAGAGCTACTGCAACAACTACCGCAACTTTTATTTTTTTGCATTTTTCTCTCGTCCACACCTGGGTTCCGTGTAACAACGCTAGCCCTGATTGAATCAACTCTTATCACCTCACAACATAGCTTTTGTCTTTGAACCTCAACACCAACACCAACACCAACACCAACAACAAAAAACGAAGATCATGGACTTCGTGGACTTCATCCTCGAGGCTCGTATGCCCAAAGGCGGAGGAGCCTCAGGTGGTGGCGGTGGAGGCAGGGGAGGAGGCTCCGGTAAATCTTCAAAGTCCAAGTCCAAGTCAAAGTCAAAAACAAAGAGCAAGGGCGGCTTCGTAGCAGGCGGCGGCGGCGGCGGAGCCGGAGGCGGGGGCAACGACGGCTTCTCCAAATTACCAGTATGGGCGCGGGTCCTCATCATCTTACTCATCGTCTGGTTCATCATCTTTCTCATCTCCCTTTTCTACTTCCTGGCGCAAGGTAAGACACTTCCACAACCTCCCCAAACCCGTTTTTGCGTTTCTGCAGGAGGGTGTCCAACTAACACGTAATCGCTCAGAATTCAAACGTAAAAAGCGAGGAGAAAAGTTCCGTCTAGGTCACGTCTTCGGCCACGCTCTCCTCGTCTCAACGGGTCTCTGGCTCCCCGTCCTGATCTACAAGAAGATCGCCGAGCGCAAGAAGAACAAGAGCGGCACCTACGCCAAAATCGAGGAAGGCCACGGCAAGGAGGGAAACAGCAGCACGAACCACGACTACTGGTACGGCGGCGCCGGCAGCAAGTACGACCCGCCTCAGTACCAGTCGCCAATGCCCGCCCCCGCTCCGTCGCCGTCTCCGAGAACCCCGGGCAAGACTGTATACTACATGCCCCCGCCCCCTTCGCATGCCGCCGAGACTCAGCCTCCGCCTCGCTATAGTTGAGACGACAAGGCTATGAAGTGATGTGTGTGTGTGTGTGTCTCGGCAAGATGATGGAACGACTTTGTCATGTTTTGCTTCTTCTTTACTTTCTCAGTGCGATACCCCCATTTGTTCGAATAAGCGTTTTTGTCAAAATTTTTAAGGCCAATATACGTCCTATGTTTAAAAGTCATGTATACGTAGAAACATTCGTGTTATGTCGGAATATGATGATTTATTAAACTTCTACTACTTTCTTGCTTCCCTCGACACGAAGTTTGGTACCCTCTTTGAAACGGTCGGTCGACTGCATGAGTATTAATCTCTTCAGACGTGTTCCCCGCCGTTGCTCCCAATTCATCTCTTCGTCAGCACGCCAGGGCTATATTCACGAATTCATTTAACTCGTGAAGCCTCTGTCATCACTTCCATTGCCGCTATTCGAGTGAGGGTGTGCAAAGAGTGGGCCCGCCCAAACATGTAATCGCGGCTCAGGTGTCGTCTTACTGAAGCCCTTGCTTGTGGTTCCAAGTTGCTATGGAAAGTTAGCACCCCGAAGAATCTTGAATTCGAAGCAAAGACCTCACCATGCTATCCCTTTGGAGAGTCTCGCCAAGTAGACCACTTAACGCTCAGATCCCTGTCGTGACATCTTGGAATGTTGACAACGTATTTCATAGAAAGCACAATTTTACCTCGGCATGACGAAGTACTTTCGAAAGGAGAGTATCGGTATTTGGCCTCCCAAAAACGCGACATCATCCTCATTTCTTGGGTGCGGCAGGAGCCCCCTGTCCACCGCCTTTCGAGCCGGAGCTGGATGCCCCACTGTTTCCGCCTGCCGGCATCTGCACCGGCTTTTCTACCCCGGAACCCGCCGTTCCATGTCCGGTCTTGTTACCACTAGCGGGGCGAGGGTTCCGAGGGAATACCGGCAGTCCGGTCGTGTCATATCCGCTTCGTCCCATTCTCAGGGGATGGCAATATTACGCTACAAGTCACGCGCGCCAGGCTGTGTAAGACGGTGTTGGATTTATGTCGCGAGCGGTCGTGGCTCGTGGTCAGGAAACGACAGTGATGTAAGTGTCAAAGTAAAGTCGGCCAGGCAAAGATATCGTCAGCTTTGAGGCAGTAGAGAAAAGATTGTTGGTTTGCACTTTAAAATCGCGTAAAATATTGTGGTTCGGCTGTGTTCTTTTGTAAATGACATGGTCTGGGTGATGAGTTATGAATCCTCGGCTTGACACAGATGTAGGAGTAAGTGTGCGTGGTTCCTTTCCAGGGGAGGCGAAGTGCTTGTGTGCTAGACAGAGGGGAAAAAAGACACTTCTCCCATCAGACGAGTGTGCCGTTTGTCTTTGCTTTATACCAAAGGTTAGAGTCAGATTTTGCTCCGTGTGTATGTTGGCGTTTTCACCGAAAAGGGCTCAAGATTGCGAAATTTGCTCCCAAGACTTGTTGTTTGTCTTTCTTCTTGATTGACTCAGTTGTTCCAGGGGGGTTTGTGCGTCCCTATCCACCCCCGAGAAAAGCACCTTGCCATCAGAGATATGGAGGGGTTGTTTTTCGCTCCCGTTTTGCTTTTTCTTAGTCACTGCTCTGGAACTGATATTATGTCTGTGTGCGACCATTCCCCGGGGTGAGACATGGTTAACGAAACTGTCGCAGGGGTTTTGTTGAGCAAGGGAGCTTTTTGCTATTACTACAAGTCTAGATCCCGAATCAATAATCTTCCCATTGTCTTCTTGGAATTGCGGTTCTATCTGGACAATGGCATCTTCCATAAGACCCAGATAATCCGAAGCTTGGGGAGATTGCTGACGCCCACCTCTCGGACCAGATGGCCGGGACTTGGCTGGGCCGCATTACGCAGCAGCCTAGTGCAGAGAGGTATGTAATAGTCGCTCTCGCCCCGAGATGCCGGTGAGGGAGGCTCTCAAAGATTAATTGAAATGATAGATCAAATAATCGAAAAGGGAAAGTATCCTATCCTTACGATATTCTGGACCCAGGGGCCAGAGGAATCCACGATATTTGCTGTCTTGATCCGTCATGGCAGGGAGCCGCCGGAATCCTGCCCTTCGGTTTCGAGATTGCCTTCAGCGGCCGAGGCCTCCGATCTATTCCAGTGACGATAGTATACTTCATCTTTATATCTTATCACGATCGCGATCCAGGGCAACTTGATTCTAATTGTCTTACCTAGCAAGGCCGTGCTTCGGTAGGTATGACCAATTAGCGCCGGCAAAGGCGACTTTGGTGGCTTGTCAGAACAGACTAGTGGGGCACAGTTTCTGAGTCGTCAGCACTCACCGTGAGCTTCCGCTGAGTGGGTGGCTACATAGAAATACCAAAGCATTCGTATTAGGAGGCGACCATAAAACTAATCAAAAGAATGTTACTGTCTGTGTCATACAATCGAAGCACTCAGTGCAACGGCTGGCGCTGCTGCAGCCTTGTCCGAGGACACGCTTTGCCTTTGGCATCTGCTGCTTAATGAGAAAACAGCACCATCCGCGTCTCGGGGTACATTCCTGGCTGCCTTTCTTTTTTGACATTTTTGCTTCCGTTGCCTCAAAGTGAGTCTCTAATATTCAAAGCCGGCTCAAGCCTGTTGGGTCGGTCATGCTTTCAAGCAAAGCAGCCGGGAGCTTGTCTCTAGGCTGTCTCCGTAGTCTCTCGTATTAGATAGTTACTGCCAGCCTGTATTTCTGGTTTGTCTTATCCTCTGGAACATAAGCACTGGTTGGGTTGATGTTTCTAGTGTTTCCGCGCTCCTTCTCATCCAACAATGCATTGCTCCGTTTGTTGTCAGTCGGCTCAGTCATAGGGCTTTCCCAAATCCGTGGAGAGACTATTTCGAATGTGGACCTCTTTTCTAATCTACAAACCGTCTGGATCGGCCGGTTTGATTCTTGAGGTTTTAGCAGCTTTCATCGCTGGCTCTTTTATTGTCTTCTTCTGTGATTCCTCGCTGGCATCTTGATTGCTGGGTTGTTCTGTATCTTGCGTAACATGAAAATTGGTATCATCGGTGTGCTTATCCTTCTTGTTCCCATCTTCCTTGGCCGCTTGCCGGATGCCCATGTTTTGATACTGTTTACCCTTACCGTCTATCTTTTGCTTAGACTTTGACTGGGACCCTGGAGTAGGGTACGATATGGCCTCATGATTTTCTTTGACCTTCTGCTTGAACCCTTTTGGTTCGCCTTCTAAACATGGGCCCTGCTAGGGACTATGCCCGGTGTCCGAACTAAAGTCAAGGCTATTGACCCATTCCCGAGTTCTGCGTCGGCATGCCGGCTCAGTCTTGATATCGTCATCTTTCTGCTCATCGGAAGGCCTTTGCTGGTCATCTTTTGGTTTGCGTCCGAAAAGTCGGTGGAAGAAACGTCGAATGCTTATATGCCTGGTCCCTCTCTGTGAACTCTCCCGAACAGATCTCTGTACAGGCGCCCGAGTTGGCCTACTACGCGGCGGTGTTGGCTCTGACTTGCGCGATGCACGGTTCTCTGTTGGTCTGGGACGGCCGCCCTCCGTACTGCTATGAGCGGATACACCATGATTCAGCGAAGTTTGCAGCATCCATGTGGGTTTGCTTCCTCTTTCGTAGAAGTCTCCGGCATTAGGGTCCATGTTGCGGTATACATGGCGATGTTGCGCATACCGAACCTTAGCTAGCTCTTCATGACGCCTGCGAAGTTCATCTAGCCGCTGTTCATCTGTGAGTGGGTGTGGAATAGTATATGACGGCTCAAAAATGGCTTGAGCAGGATTGAGGGGTCCGGAGACGGCCGATAAACCCCCACTGGAGTGTGAATTTCGTCTATAGAGGCGGCCGCGGCGCTTGTGGGAAGAGGATGCTGGTCTCAATGACGCATATTCGCCTCCCATCCTTCGACGACTGTCATTTCGAGCTTCTCGGCTGTTCCGGGGCGGCGGAGATTCATGGTGACTAGGTGTTTGAGATGTTTTTGTGTCCGTCTTCCGTGACGCAGATGCCATATTCTCTCGAAATAGTCGCTGTCCTTGAATCACGCAAGAGCTATAGACTGAGTTGTAGCTAATGTTACAATATCGTTAGTCTTTTCTTGTAAATATCAGGCTGAAGGAGATTCAAACAGTTACACGGACGTGCAGACCTCTCAGGGTGTTCTTTTTGCCCTTCTGAACTTTTGTTTAATTCAATGCTAGATCTTGCGAACGATGCTCTAGCGAATGCACTTGGCGAAGGGGCAATGATGAGCGAAACACATCCCACCTAGTGTAATCAGGAGTGATTTTTCACTTGTTTGGGTGTCAGCAAAGCCATACCTATATGCTGGTATGTCGAGGATGTAAAATGAAGGTCATGACAAGTCGAGAGGTCGCTCGTACTCCGAGATACATTCTGAGCAGCTGATCACTTGCCAAGGTTGAAGGGGAAGAGGATGTTTGGAAAGAAGTAAGTCGGCATATACTTAGAAAGTAATTTCATCAACAAGACGAGAAAAGGCGTAAGCGTTCTTTCCTTTGTAGACCGCAGTTCGTTTTGGCAGGTATGCTCCTTCGCTCTCTCTATATTGATATGCATGATCCGCCCAAGCCATTTGAGCATCTCAGTTGAGAAAGAGAACTCGTATTAGCAAGTTCTCGACGAATCCTTCACAGCTAATCAACTTCCATCCGAAACACCGATGAGAGAAATATGTTGAGATTTCGTTGATTCATACTAAGATTTAGATTTGCAAGCAGATTCGCGTCGAGGTATCATCAGCCGTACAGACAACCCTCGTTTCCGAGCCGAAAACCAAAATACTCCTTCGTCCCTATAGGCCTTAGACCATAATACATACAAGAAGCCACCAAACTCCTAGATCCCCGCAAATCGAACCATCATTAATATCTTTCTTTGGCCATGACGCGCATCTATCTACTTCACGGCCAAACGCTTGGCCCAATGGTCTCGCCAGCTGGAACGTGTGTCTTGATCGCGGTGCCCTTCCAGTCCATCGTCTGGAAGACCTCGACGTTGCCCCACCACTGAGGCGGTTTAGCCGACGTCAGGTACAGCGTGAAGAAGATGATCAGCGTAGCTACAATCAAACCACAGTCAAGGGCTGCGGAGGTGATGTAGTTGTATTGCAACCACCAGCCCGTGTATCGGCGCTTAATGAAGTAGTTGAAGAAGGTGCCAACCGTGGCCCAGCAGAGGTAGATATAGACACTAGCGGGGGGTAGCCAGCCTGAGCCACCATAAAGGAGGGGCGTATTGACATAGCGCCAGATGCTCTTGGGCCACCTGCGGGCGAGGAACCAGGTGATGACGGGAGTGACAGCACCAACAAGCCAGAACCACTGGAGGGATGAGTACAGAGCACCGCCTGAGAAGATACGGGCGGGTCCAATGGCGCCCCAAATGATAGATGCCGTGAAGAAGACACGACCACCAGGGCAGGTGTAGTTGCTTGGCTGATTCGGTGTGCAGACGTCGGGAATGGCGCCCAAAGCCCAGTTCATCACGGCAATCTGAACAATGGCGGACCAAACCGAGGCAACAAGTTGTGACGCGAACATGGTGCGTGGAGGGACTTTCATGTAGTGTCCGAGCTTCAGATCCTGTGCAAAGTATAGCGCCTGGGACATGCAGATGTAACCGTAGTTCTTGAACATCATCATGGCAAGGGGACGGCCAGGAACCATGTATCCAATGATGAACTCGGTGAGAACGTTAAGGCCAAGTTGAATGTTGGTAATGGCTTGCACAATGCCAATAGGAATAAGCCAGAAAACGGGGATGAGGATGCAAACAACGTATGCCCATGCAGGAAAGCCAGTTGGCCAACCAGCAACGACACCAAACGACATGCTGACCATGACAACGAAGAGGGCTTGACGCATGTTAGCCAGGGACGGTAGTTTGAAGGCACAGGAAAAGCTTACCAAGATACCACCAATCCTCCGCGTCGCGGTACTTCTTCATCAAGCGCATGTGGACGTCATCCTCCTGGTGACGTGCCAACTTGAACTGACCCCAGATCTCAGTTCCGTGGTAAAGAACGACGTGGACAATCACAGCAGTCACAGCGGCAAAGGACAGGGCGTAAGCCAGGGCGAATTGCGTAGGCAGGTAAAGCGGGGAGTATGCCTTGTAGGCTGTTTCGTTGAATTGGAAGTTGGCGTCGAGGATTCGAGTGACGTTGTATACAGCTCCAGTGTTGTCGAATGATTCGGAGCTCTGGACAGGGAAGTAGTTGGAGTACCAAGTGCCGGAGAAGTGAATGCCCGAGGAGACCATGACGAAGAAGATGAGGATGCCCGCAATCACGTTGGCGATGGCATGGAACGGCGGGATCAATGGTGAAGCCAAGAAACCCGAGATGACGGTCCAGTCGAAGGAAATGGGCATGAGACCGTAACCTGAAAGGCCACCAAAGACTTTGTTGACGATCTCGTTCTGAGGCGCAACCCAGCAGATCCAAGTAAAGTAAGAAAGGCCCTGGAAAATCCAGCCCGGAAACCAATACCACACGAAGGCACCGCTGCTGACGATGAGGAACCAGCGATAACGACCGATTTTCCATCCATTAGTTTTGGAGGGGTCGGAGCCGGAGTGGTCGTGAAGGGTGTAGAACAAAGCGCAGTTGACCAAGTTCGACGGCCAGATCATGGCGGAAGGCCAAACGAGGAATCGCCGGGCCAGACCGGCAAGACCGTATCCGGTACACAGGGTGGTGATGCCGAAGAGCAACTGGAAAGCCCAACCGAAGTGTTGCTTATAGAACAGTTGTTGAGCAAGCAAAACGTCCGTCGCATACAAGACGCCGCCGCCGTATGCCGCCTGCACATCATGTTAGTCTTGACTGAACTGCCTGACACCACCACTGGGCCACCTTGGCGCCGGGATATCAAATCTTGGCCGCCGTAATCCCAAAAGCTTGGGGTATTTGGTAAACCCCACAAACATTCAAGCTTTTAAACTCACATTAGACATGGCAACAATAATGACGTGCTCCTTGTAATTGAAACGGCCGGGCTTGAGGTTGAACTTGATACCGAACACATTTTGCTCCTTATCAGGCATGACCAGATCCCAGCCTAGGCCGATTGGGTACGCTATAAGCTGAACAACATAAGTGGTGATTGTAACGCTAGGGTTGCGCAGCGAAAAAAGCATGTTGACACCGGAGCCGATGGTGCAGAGTAACATGCCAATAACCCAGGCGCGAATGGTGTTGGCGGGCAGGTCGACATCATAATTCCGTACTACGGCGCGAACCTTTATTGCGGCGTCGCATCATGTTAGCAGTTTGAACGACTCCCCTGCTTTACGACCCAATCTGCCTCGATGCAGTCCGGTCAAGCTCTCATGCGCTCGAAGGAATCTCTTCGCACGTACCTCTGGGTAAGGCGAGTTATCCTCCAAAAGGGCCTGCTCGATCTCGAGACCCTTCTCTGCGTTGCCCGAAGCGAGTGCTGCGTCGACATCGTTGAGCTCATCAATTGGCATATTCGGATCGAGCTTGTGCGCCTTCTCGAACTGAGCCAGAGCCTTCAGTGGCTCGATACCAGTGGCCTCGGCATCGTCTTCGAGGGCGGGGAACGGCGTGATCTCCTCAGGCTCGCCGCGCTTGCGAAAAAAGGACGGCATCGTGATGGATGAATGAGGGCGTCGTTCGTCCCTCTCTCTCCTTCGCCCTACTGTCGAACAAGTAGAATGAGAGAGGTGAGAGAATGGAGCGCCGATTGCGGATGGGCTGAAGAGTAGCCGACAAGATAAGCAAAAGCACGAAAAGAAGGCCCCAAGGCCACAACGGGACTGGGGGATGCGGGCGCCAAGGGCTTTTTTCAATCAATCAAGCGAAAAGATGGCGGCGACGGTGGTGCCGGCCGAGCAGTCTACAGGCTAAGAAGACAAGGTGACAAGGACCAAGTAAGAGTCAGCCAGTCAACAAGCCAGCCAGAATCCCACTTCCCGCAGCTCACAGCGACCGCACGATCGCGTAGTTTCTGGGGTAGGAGGAGTCGGTCTGGTGGTTCTTGTGAAGGGTCTGCAGACGATGAGGGTACCGATATGCCCGCACGGCGTGAGAGACCCTTGGAAGGCTGTAGTGGTTCGGGGCAAACCATCAATTCAAAGTTGGGTGATTGTTTCTCTCCCAGGACTCTCTACCCATCTCCCCATATCGCCATGGGTGTGTGTGGGCTCGCCTTTCGGGCGACGCGTAGGAGGGGGGCCGGCCAAGGGAACCAAAAAGAATTTGGCGCTCTAGCGTGCTATCACGACACAAAAAAGCAGCGCCGACAGCCTGCAGCTCCAGCGGCCGTTTGCCGACCTTCCTAAATTGGGGTAGTGACCTCCGAGTGGCTGTGGAGGAGGCGAAGATATAGAGGAAGAATGGTTCGCCGGGATGTGGTGGTGACACTGAGTTCAGCCCAATGGCACCTCTTCAATGAAGCTGGTCCACCCCTACAGGAACGCCTCAGAGTTCCCAGAACGCTTACTAGTGGTGCTAGTACATCTGACACTGTCGATTGGCACTTCGGTGGCTCAGTTCTTGCGATTTTGACGGCCTAGAAGAGGACTTTTTGGTGCCCTTTGTCAAAGTGGCATGGGGATGAACAGCTCACAAAGCCGTCAACTTTGCCCCTGTCACCGATCCGGGAGGGTAGTTTCTGTACTGACCGTCCACTGTAGCTGTTGCTGGAGAAAGACGAATGAATTGACAATATGGCTTGTAAACAGCATGACCCCCGCCTGAAGTATCCAAACTTGCACTGGGCCTCGTTAACACTTCCCCTAGCTTCCAGCACCCCAGATGACAAGAAACCGCGCTGCCATCGTTATCCGTACTTCTGCTGTCAGTACCTAGTGCCATTGCTACCCGTCCATCGGCCGAGCCATTGCGCGAGACTTGGCGAGTCACCGCCATGGGCCTTTCATTGAACTGTCCCATTCTAACCAATCGTCAGTCATTTTTTTCCATGGGAGGGAGCTGAACTCCCCGGGTGGCCCTGGCTTATCTTTGGGACTTTGTGAATGATTGAAAGCACCTGAATGGCTGTATCATTGACCCCACCCTTTTCGACATTGTGATTTCCGACGAAGAGGATTTTCCCCGCAGGCCACTGCAACCTTGATAATGCCATCGGATGAATTCGGCCCGCCAAGCGTTCTGCTTAGGTAAGGCTTGCTGGCCCAGATCATCTCGACTGGGAGTACGGTACTGAGACTAATGCTGTGAAGAGTAAGGTTGAAAAGATCAATCTGCTCAGTAGTTACAAATTCAATGCTCATGATTTTTGTCTTTAAATGATCTAAAGGTTCGGAAGAAAGCCATATTAACGAAGATGTAGCCCTCAACCCCAAGGCTTAAACTACGTGAAAATTTGTGTTGCACGTCAACTTTAAGACCGTCTGCATAATCAGGAACAGTTTCACATCTACATCGCCGCTAATAGTCGATTGAACATTGTTTACGTCTTGTTGTAGCATTGTCTACAACAAACTTAAGCTTGGCGTTTTTGGTAACGGACACTATGCTTCTCTAAGCAACCCGAAGCCTCTCATTCCCTCACAACATCCAGAGCGCTGGCCAGCAAGTTCCGCCATTCTCCATAGTGATCTGTGACTACTCATTGATACCAAGAACATATTGTGAAAACCGGCTACACTGACGGGAGGCCTTATCCCCGCTGTTTATCCATGGCCTTTAAATTTGTCGTTGCCCGCCGGGCCATGCATATGCATCTGGTGAATAAGATAAGGTGATGATATAAAAGTATGTACGCCTGTGCTGGTTTATTATAAGCTATTTATATAGCCCATTATGGAAGTAGCGCGTGAATGGAACCATTTATAGGTGTCGCTACCACAATGCCATCGAGAATATGGTCATTGCTCCATGTGCCCTTTGTCGCGTCCAAGCAATAGGCTAAACTATCTCGTCCAAGAGCTCACCCCTTCTTCTGACAGGGACTTTTCCTTATATAAAGAAGACATCAGCCATAACTCTAGAGATTGACAGCCAAAAAGGGACGTGTCGTAAAGCGACATTCTCCTTTAGAGGTGCTGGTGCATCTACGGCGCCAAGGCGGGAGAGGGCCCACCCGTCCATCAGTGGAGGCGACAGGATCCCCCGCTTATCACCTTTTACATGGCCTAACTGTTTGAGCATCATCGGTAACTCATTCGAGTAGCATTGTTTATTCTTTCTGTAGACATGTCATCACTTACGAAAGAAACAGTCATTGCAGCAAGTTAAATCCCATATTCTAACCCGATACATAATCAACCAGCGAAGTTAGCAGCAACTCAACGTCAGCGAGCGCATGAAACCCCCACCGGCAAAGTCGGCACTAACTAAGCTCCACGCTCAGCCAACTGCCATCATAACTGTCACAGGCCTTGGCAGAGATCCCGGATGAGGTCTCACACTAGACGCAGCGTTCTTTCCACTTGACGTATCTAGCGAAACCATTTGAAATCTATCCGCTCTTCGGCCCGTGAGCGACTTATTTCGTTCAGGCTGGAAGTTGGTTCTAATGCATGACAAAACAACATCTGACAATTAGGGCCAAGGCGAAACTACCGCGTTCCGCTCGGCCTGTGAAATGTCGTCATTCCTCTCTCATCATCGCAGTGTTAACCTCACTCAATTGCTTCCAGCTACTCTTGTGATTTGCCGCTGTCCAATATTTAAGCATCATAATGGGAATCCCCCGACCTTGGCAAACCTGGCCTAGACATCAATTGCCCTCGCTCTACCCATCTTGAGAGGGTTTTTTAAATTTAATCCGTGATACCCATCTCTAGCTAATATTCTACCAATCAGCCGTTAAGATGCCTCTTGCGTCCCACGTAAGTCTCAGTGCTCAGATTCTCAGTATGAGATATGGCAAGGGCATTGTCACTTACGGGCAGAACAGGTCAACCCAGAGGAGATCGTCCAACGACTCCAGGCAACCCACATCACGCCTCCTGGGCATTTCAACCTACGGAGCCATGCTACCTCCGCTCATATCCAGCCCTTCGACTCCCGTTACACATCGCAGATGAACATTCCCAAGTACAAAATTCCCGATGAAGGTGCCCCTGGAGACACTGTCTTCCAAATGATTAGAGATGAGCTGGATCTCGACGGCAAGCCCAATCTCAACCTTGCCAGGTAAGCCAAGCGCATCCGCTGCCTTATACGCTACTTCCACTAACACAAGCAACAAGCTTTGTGGGCACCTTCATGGAACCCAACGCAGAGCAGCTCATGCAGGAGAACCTCGCCAAGAATCTCTCTGATGCAGACGAGTACCCCGCCATGCTGGAGATGCACCAGCGATGCATCAGCATCATTTCTCACCTCTGGGGTGTTCAGCCCGGTGAGAAGGCAATCGGCTCCGCTACCACCGGCTCATCCGAGGCCATCCACCTCGGAGGTCTGGCTATGAAGCGTAGATGGCAACAGCGCCGCAAGGAGCAGGGCAAAGACGCACTGAAGCCTAACATTATCATGGGTGCCAACGCGCAGGTTGCTCTCGAGAAGTTCGCCCGCTATTTCGATGTCGAGGCCCGTATTTTGCCAGTCAGCAAGAAGAGCCACTACCGCCTCGACCCCGATCTGGTGAGGGAAAACATTGATGAAAACACCATTGGCGTGTTTGTCATTCTCGGAAGCACTTACACTGGCCACTACGAGCCCGTTGAGGAGATCTCCAAGATCCTCGACAAGTACCAGGAAGAGACTGGCAACGACATTCCCATTCACGTCGATGCTGCCTCTGGAGGTTTCATTGCACCCTTCACACATGCCGGTGTTGGCAACGGTGCAAAGTGGTAAGTTTTACAGTGTTGCTTCCCAGCGACCACAAAAGCTAACCGTCGTCCTAGGAACTTTGAGCTTCCCCGTGTTAAGTCAATCAACACCTCCGGTCACAAGTACGGCCTTGTCTACGCCGGCCTCGGCTGGATAATCTGGCGTGACGAGTCCTATCTCCCCGAAGATCTTATCTTTGAGCTGCATTACCTTGGTGGCACCGAGAAGTCCTTCACTCTCAACTTTTCGCGCCCTGGCGCCCAAGTCATCGTTCAGTATTACAACCTCATCCACCTTGGCTTTGACGGTTACCGCGTGATCATGGAGAACTGTCTCTCCAATGCTCGCCTGCTGGCCCAGAGCCTTGAGGCAATGGAATGGTACACCGTTGTCTCCGACATTCACCGGCCGGTCCAGGACAAGGCTGCTACCGAAACTGAGGGATCCGCCGCCAACCAGGCTGCCGATAAAGAGGGCGACGAAGACGCCGCGTCTGGTGAAACCTCTGCAGACTATGTCGCTGGCTTGCCCGTTGTATCATTCCGTTTGACGGATGAATTCAAGGACAAATACCCACATATCAAGCAGGAGACGATATCACTCATGCTTCGCGCTCGCGGCTGGATTATTCCCAACTACCCTCTGCCGCCCAACGAGGAAAAGATTGAGATCCTCCGCGTTGTCGTCCGTGAGAGCATGACATTTGATCTGCTTGAGCGTCTGCTTGGAGACATCGCCTCCGTGACAGAGTCGCTGATGGAGAATGACCAGATTGATTTGCAGGTCTTGAGGAAGCATCACACCCGCAGAAAGGTGCGAGTCAAGGGCGACGAGGAGAAGGAGCGGAATGAGAGGAAGGAAAAGGGAGGTGTTGCCAGGGTTTTGGGCCAAGAGGTGAGAAGCATGGAAGATGGTATTCACCGGGCCGTGTGCTAAGCTCGCTTGGAACGGAACGGTAAGGGAAGACCCAAGGAGATTGACAACTTCGCCTTGGATATATATTATGAGACACCTAAAAGCATTTTATTAATCACTTGAATCATATCATTGAATAGTCTGTCGACCTAAGGTCAATTATGGTGAGCGGCTATCTTCTCTTTTGCTATGATGCATAAGCTCGACGCCAGGTTACTTCACGCCAACTGGCGCAAATGTCTGGGGCTTTTCAGACTAGAAGCCGTTCATTAAGGCTGGCAAAATGTCACCTCGAAGCTGTACTACCAGCCCTGGCTTTTGAGGTGGCTCGTTTATTTGTTGCCAACCAGACTGTTTGCTTCGGAGCCATTGCTGATTTTCCGGCTGCCTGTGATGCTATGTTAAACAGGACAAGCAACATCCCATTAAGGCTGTGCGCGCTCTAAACAACATTGTTTAGGGTGGCATGTTTCCAGCAAGCACCGTGGGCGAACGATGCATAGGACTTGCTGAAAGCCTCGTGGCACCCGGGATTTTGGTGCCCTCCGCTGAGACTTTGTACTCGAGAAATTGAAGCTAGAGTGAAACTTTCATTCTCTTCAACCATAATCGTTAACCCCATCAGTCGCCCCCCGCAGGCACATCAGATGCTGCAGTTGCTGGTTCTGTCATTTCAACGTCCTTGCGTGGTCGGAATGGTCGTCTCTTCTGCCGAGGAGCATTTACTGGGAATCGCTTGACGTTGCCGCAAGTTTTGCACTTGGTGACCATAACATCAGCCCAAGGCTTTTTGCCGCCCTTGCTGGGATTCTCGACAGTCGTAGAGCAGGACTTTCCTTCAACAAGCAACGTGTCGCAGTACTTGCACATCATCTGCTTGACTGCCGGGCTGGGTCGAATCTGAGCTTTCAGGGTGACTGCTCGGATGTCGGAGACAAAGCGACGAGCAACCGTCTCATTTGTTGATTGCTCTCCCCGACTGGTAGACTGAACGTCATCGTGGGGCTCCGATGATGTCGAATTTGATTGTGAGCATGCTGACTGTACTGTCGCCAAGTAACAGGCAGCTTGATGCAGATACGACACTCGTGTATACAGATGTCTGTTTGGCAAGCTTTCGCTTTTTGGCTTTGCCATTTCCGTCTCCTTGCAGTTCGTCAGACGTTTCAAAGAGCGAGTAGCATTGAAGGGAGTGTTGCAAGCAGAGTCAGTTCCATTCACCGTCTCAATAATGATTAAAAAAAAAAAAAAAAATAATAACTGCAGGGGGTGCAAGTCCCAAGCTCCCAACTGTACTAGTAGAAGTCTAGAGTAAAGGTTAAAGTTACTGTGTAGAGGAGTCAGCGGCGCACTGTCTTGGATAAGCGGGTCCCAGTCACATGACGTTGCTGGACTCAGCCTCTCATGCGAAAGCTTTTGACCTTCGGTGCCCGCCTCACCTTCGCTTCCACGTCTTCTTGGATCTTCCACCTCAACTACGGCGCCTCCCATTCCGCCTTCCAACCTTACGCCCCCAATTGCCATCTGCATTTAATCTCTCGCCTGCCACGGACTTTTGACACGGCAACGCGTTTTTTTCTTTTTTTCCCAAGACCCAACCTAGACCTTTCCGACTTTTTGTTCCCTTCCCACTTCCCACGCGAACAGCAACCGTGCTGTTCCCTGTCGACCTCAACAGCTTACATCGCCAGCCTTGGGGTATCTTCTCACCAGAACCTGCTCGGCCAGTTTCTTAAGATAATCACTAGCAACGTCACCACCAGTAATCGACAACATGTCTGCTGAGGAGGATCTCATCGACTACTCCGACGAGGAGCTTCAGACCAACGAGACCGCGGCCGCCTCTAACGGAAAGAAGGCCGATGCCGCCGGCGCCGGTAACAACGTCGACAAGAAGGGCAGTTATGTCGGCATTCACTCGACTGGTTTCCGCGACTTCCTCTTGAAGCCCGAGCTTCTGCGCGCTATTGGCGATTGCGGTTTCGAGCATCCTTCGGAGGGTCAGTCCTGAGTTTATATACCCTAACCCATCATCATCCCCTCCCCTGTCAGCAAGCGTCCGTCCATCTCGCAAGTCCAAAAAGCCATCGAAATCGCCATCGAGGAAGCTACCGAAAGACGGGAGTCAGCTGGATATCCATTTTTGTACGGGCAATGCTCGACGATCCACCGGTGAAAGGTGGATTACTATGGCGGTTAGTGAGGGGAACGCGTGACAGCACCCCTCTTACCGCGCGAACACTGCGGTGTTCTCGAGTAAACTTTAGTCGAAGTGGCGCTACGAGAGCTTTGTCTCTTGGGCCCCGACTGTTCCTATACCACGGTCGCGAGCTGTAACGGCTACATCTGCGCTATCCGCGCCGCGACTCGTGCTATGCCCAGCCATCATCAGTTTTGATCGATTGGCGTTTTTTTGTTGTGGAGGACGTGGAAACATTTCATCCAACACATGGCTTCTTTGCGCAGATGGACGGGCCTTTTTGCACGCCCTTTACGTCGCTTCTGCTCTTTGAACACAATTCTAACATCGCCGCGATCCAACAGTCCAGCAAACCTGTATCCCCCAGGCTCTCCTCGGAGGAGACATCATTTGCCAGGCCAAGTCTGGTCTGGGAAAGACTGCCGTCTTCGTCCTCACCACCCTTCAACAGGTGGAGCCTGTCCAGGGCGAGGTCTCCGTGCTGGTTATGTGCCACACTCGTGAGCTTGCCTTCCAGATTCGCAACGAGTACAACAGATTCAGCAAGTACATGCCCGACATCAAGACCGGCGTGTTCTACGGCGGTACCCCCATCCAGAAGGATGTTGAGACGATCAAGAACAAGGAGACCTGCCCCCACATCATTGTCGGCACTCCCGGCCGACTTAACGCGTTGGTTCGCGACAAGGTTCTCCGTCTCGGTAGCGTCCGCATCTTCGTTCTTGACGAGTGCGACAAGATGCTCGACCAGATTGGTAAGTACTACTATCTAGCTTCCGCTATCGAGCCTCACAATAACATGTATTAGACATGCGCCGTGACGTCCAGGAGATCTTCCGTGCCACTCCTACTCAGAAGCAGGTCATGATGTTCTCGGCTACCCTGTCCGACGAAATCAAGCCCATCTGCCGGAAGTTCATGCAGAACCCCACTGAGCACTACGTCGATGAGGACACCAAGCTCACTCTGCACGGTCTTCAGCAGTACTACATCAAGCTTGAGGAGCGGGAGAAGAACCGTAAGCTCAACGAGCTTCTGGACGACCTTCAGTTCAACCAGGTCATTATCTTCGTCAAGAGCACTCTGCGTGCGACTGAGTTGGACAAGTTGCTGAGAGAATGCAACTTCCCCTCTATCGCCGTCCACTCCGGTGTCAGCCAAGAGGAGCGTATCCGCCGCTACAAGGAGTTCAAGGAGTTCAACAAGCGTATCTGCGTCGCCACCGATGTCTTCGGCAGAGGTATTGATATCGAGCGTATCAACTTGGCCATCAACTACGACTTGCCCGCTGACGCCGACTCCTACCTGCACAGAGTCGGTCGTGCCGGTCGTTTCGGTACCAAGGGTCTTGCTATCTCCTTCGTGAGCACCGACCAGGACCAGGAGGTTCTCAAGGCTATCGAGAAGCGCTTCGAGGTCGCTCTTCCGTAAGTCAAAACCAGATCATGATACGCAGTCTCACATAGCTAACAACACATCACAGTGAGTTCCCCAAGGAGGGTATTGACGCCAGCACCTACATGGCTTCTTAAGCAGGCCATGCAACGATTCGGCAGGGGTTTCTGTCGGTGTGTTTATTTCAAGGGTTCTGGTTTCGGGAATTTGCTAAAGTTGGTCGTGGATGACGCACAACATGAGCGGCCATGGAAAAAGAGTTGAAGCTGCTTGCTCCGTGCAGATGAAAAGTGTCTGTTTGCCTTTACTGGCCTCTTGCGATTTGTAGAGAGTAGTTACACGGGAATCAAGACTGAATCACCACGTTCAAACACCATGACTTGTACAACTTGTGAAATGCAATGTGACGTTGGGTCAGGGATTGCCCTGCCATGGTCTTTTCAAAAAGTAAAAAGTCTGGTAGGGACTGGGCCGAGCAACCAACCATTCCCTTCTTTTACATGAGTTCATCTATCATGCCTTCCGTTCATGACATGACAATCTCCTTTCTGATCTCACTGTCGTCGTCTGCGTCCAGATGACGTAGCAGCACGTCGTAATTGTCTTCGTTGGGTCGGGCTAATATGAAAGTCCGCATGTGAATTTGTTTCATCTCCGCCTGGTCGGCCATAACACTTCTGTTTGTCCCTTTTAAATTGGCGTAATCGTTCGGATTTAGCCCGTCGAGGATGTCGCAGACGAGGTGGTCGATTTCGTCATTGCCATTTATGTCTGACGGCTTCCTTCGACTGCGTGACTTCGTCAAGGTGTTTATGGTCATTGCATACCATAATATTGGGGTGTGTGTTTCTGTTGAATCGCTTCATCGCGGCCACAATGGAGCCGCTGGTCGTCGCGGATAGTTGGAGGAGGTAGCTTCTCTGACGAATATTACCTATCCTTTGGATGTAAAAAGATTTAAGAACCAGACTTGAGGAATGCCATCTAGAAACGCTTTTACGAATGCCTAGCGGGTAAGAAAAAGAGCATTTGAAGCCGGTGACTTCCTCCTCCCCAGTCCAGTAACCTTTACCAAGAACACATCTCGACATTAACACCCTTCTCCTTGAACATTGGAAGCATCTGGCCTTTGTCTCTAAGATGCTATATCCGGGAGCACTATGTAACTTGGATCATTAGAATTTATGGCTGAAGTCGTGGTCACCATCCTTCTGCTATATGAAGCACAGATATGCCAGGGACAACGAGCGTGTCTCGAACTGGCCTGGTTTTCTGCAACGAATATCACAAAACCTATTCACGCTTCCTGCACACTTCCAAGATCCCTCAATATCCTACTGAATCTCTCGGGGCCGGATAAGCCACCATCATTCTACATAAGCTGCAGCAATTGTACCGCTCGGATTACACGTCGACGGCTGGGGCAGGGCCCATCTCCCAGCCCGAACAGACAAGAAGGCACGCCAGAAGCCGTGAGACTATCCGAGGCGGCAAGGGAATCTGGCGATACCTCGTTCCGGTCGTCGCCAGTTGACTCACGCCAGGCCGTCAGGTTGAGGTCCACCCCCCCCCCCCCCCCCCCCCCCCCCCTTCACAAGACGTCGCGTCTTACACCCGCTCGCTGCCTTTGCCGTCGCTAGCCCCTCCGGACATGGAATCAATTACTATGACAAAGGCCGGCGAGTCATCACATCTATCGTGACTCCGTTGGAACACTCCCGCCTCCCCCTTTCCTCCGAAGAACATGACGAGTAAATCGAGGCAGAGAGGCCCAGTTCGACTCTACCCGGTCGCTCCGCTGTTTGCCCCCCCCTCTCTTCCCTCGTCAGCTGAGTGGTAGACTCGTCATCGGGTCTCGATAGTTTGTAGTTTTCCCGATTTGCCTCCCCGACCTGAATGTGATTTCAAATGTGTGTTGGAACGCTTTTGGTAATAGTATGCATGGCTATCCCGCCCGGTGGTTGGCCTCACATACTCGAAAGATCGTGAGCTGGTCGTGGTCAGCGGTGGCCTCAGTACTCCCCCAAAGGGTTAGTTGTCTAAGCAGGCAGGCGTAAAAGTAACCATGGAAGCTCGCCATCACAATCCTCTAGCCCCATGTTTTTGGGTCTTGTAATGGTTTACCGGAGACTTCCCTTTCTCGCTGTTTACTCTGCCAACAATATCCTTGTAATGCTAGGTGGCTGAGGACGAGCGGAGTAGGTAGCCTCGTGACTTCGGTGTCTGGGTGTTTGTTCATCGCAAGGCCAACAACACTGCAAGGCTGCCAGTTGTGACTCTTAGTTTTCGGCTGACATCTTGTGAACTACGCAATCCATATTGCCCGGCTTAGCAGGATGGTGCCCTCGAAGCAGGGTGTCACGGTAGGGCCATCTCCTTGTCAAACTAGTCTTCTGCCTGTTTCTGAGTCTTGACCTTATTCCCTTCAAACCAAATCAAATATTTAAATTTCTTGGCCAAGAGTGATGCGGCGTCGTAGCCTGTTCGTAGAGACCACCCCGGCCTGGGGTTGGACGTTCTGCCTACCTGCTCATCTGCCTAA